GACCCACGAGACCTCTGACACCGTGGAATCTGACATTCATGTGGTAACAGGGTCTTAGCGTGACATGCCCTGAGGACCCACGAGACCTCTGACACTGTGGAATCTGACATTCGTGTGGTAACAGGGTCTTAGCGTGATGTGTCCTGAGGACCCCCGAGACCTCTGACATCATGGAATCTGACATTCGTGTGGTAACAGGGTCTTAGCGTTTCAGGGTCGTCCAGGCCCCTGCCCCATCTCCTCACTGAAGACATGAGGACTTTGAGGTCACAAGAATTTAGGTTCATTTGGCCGAGGTCACTCAGCCAGTGCGTGGCACAGCCGTGCACATCCCAACCCCAGCTTCCCTTCAGGGACCAGGCCACTTCCCCTCCTGCTGTGGAACCTCCCACTGAGTCCAGTGTGCCAGGTGGGCAGCATGTCACCCAAGGGGACCACTGGGCAGGCCCAAAGGCCTCATCAGGCATCCGTGACTTTGCTCATCACGCTGCTCTCTGGGCCTGGGAACAGGGCTGTGTCTGATTTGGTCAGCGCGTGGACGGCTGAACTCTCTCTGCGAGGGGGCATGCAGCACAGCAGCTCAGACTGGTTCCCAGAGCTGAGACTGGAATGCTGGTGTGTAACTTCACAATATAAATGTACACATCCTGCTCACTGGCGGGGTCCTGTCCCTCCCTGTCGGCCACCCTGCATGGAAAGTCGGAAAGTCAGGTTATAATGAGGAGGCTTCCCGGTGAAGTGGAATCACAACAAAGAGGGTTGTTCAGTTAAACAGCTTATATACACAAAGTGCTTACCCCCAGTCCGTGGCCATCTCATCTTATCTCTGCTTTTCTTTGGAAAGGGGATTTTATGAGTGCTATTAACACCCTCAGGAAAGGAAGAAGAAAGAAGGAAAGAGAGAGGGGAAAAGGGACTGAAACAAAATAGGGAGGGAGTTTTCTTTGCTGGTTTGGTTCTATTTTAAGAGATAGGTTAATTTGTGGGATTAAATTATAAACCTTCGTCCTAGTCCATCAGAGCTCATCTGCTACTCAGAGCATTCTGGCCTTTCAGGCGGATTATGTTCATCTTTTCCTTCTCTCCTGGCCTCTGGTACTCCTGATATTTATGGTTTATTTACAGCCTGAGGGCTGTCGGTTCCGAGTGCCTTCGTTTCATCTCTGCACAGGATGGACAGCCCGTTGTAATATAACAGGGCAGGCTTTACAGATCTGAAGTAGCGGAAATTTTCAAATTTCTTTTGAAATTTTGCTTTCAGAAAGCAGACTTCTAATACAGTTAACAAAGCGTCGTTGATGTCCTCACGTGCCATCAAGTCGCTTCTGACTCGTAGCGACCCCATGTTACAGAGTAGAACTGGCCCATGCGGTTTTCCAGCTGTCATTTTTACAAGAGCAGATCACCAGGCCTTTTCTCCTGAGGAGCCACTGGTGGGTTTGAACTACCAACCTTTCAGTTCACAGCCCAGCTCTTAACTGTTGCACCACCTGGACTCCTTAATAAAGCCTTAAATACATGCATGTCTTTAATTTTGTAATTTCCCTCCTGGTAGTCTGTTGTAAGGATAACTCCAAATCTTAGGAAAACGTTTACATACATTTTAGTATTATTCATAATAGCAGACAGTTGGAAACATTCTAAGTGTCCAGTAATATATCAATTATATTTTGGCACGTCCACACAAAGTGATACTATGAAAATTTTATAATAAACATGGAAAGTTTTTAAGTGATCCGGCTAAAAGTTAGTGTGCAAAACCTTATGTGTTAAAAAAGAAAAAAAGAAAAAAAGCTTGAAGAAAGTACGAGAAGGAAATAACAATTGTTGTTGTTAGGTGCCGTCGAGTCGCTTCTGGCTCACAGCAACCCCGTGTACAACAGAACGAAACACTGCCCCATCCTGCGCCATCCTCATCACTGTTGTTATGCTTGACCCCCTTGTTGCAGCCACTGTGTCAGTCCATCTCCTTGAGGGTCTTCCTCTTTTTTGCTGACCCTCTACTTTACCAAGCGTGATGTCCTTCTCCAGGGATTGGTCCTTCCTGATGACATGTCCTCAGTACGGAAGACGTAGTCTTGCCATCCTGGATTCTAAAGAGCACTCTGGTTGTACTTCCTTCAAGACAGATTTGCTGGTTCTTCTGGCAGTCCAGGGTGTATTCAGTATTCTTTGCAAACATCACAGTGATCTCAGCTGACTTAAAAGACACTGAAGAGATTGATGCTTTAGCACATTTCAATTCTATTCGGCGTCTTTTTTTTTAAGGCTGATGTTCCTGCTGCTGCCCTAGATCTGTCACTGGAAGTGGTCAGGTGTGCGCTGTGTTCTGACAAGGCCGTGCGGTTGTTCCACCCTCTGCTTCCGGAGCCTACACAGTTAAATCTGTTTGTGCTGAGGGACGTTAACGGAATAAAGCAATGTGGTGCTCGGAACAAGCTGCCCCCGACTCTCCTCTTATTACAAGCTTCATCTTGGCAAATGTCCAGTGGTTATTTCTGGCATGTGGCCGCCTGTGTTGGAAAGATCGCTGGCGCCATTATCTGTTTTTATCAGATGATCCGGGTTCCTGCCACCCAGGCGGGGCTCAGGAGCATCACATACACGTGAGCTGACGTCATCTTCCCTCCCAGCACCTGCCGAGGAAGGACGGGGTCCCAACTGCATACAACATGATCCGCCCAAAGTGTCCCCCAGCCCTCCGTTACCCCGCTGTATTCCGCTTCTCCGTAGCACTTACCTCTAACCTGCTATGTAGTTATTGTGTTTCTCGTTTATCTGTCTCACCAACTAAATGTAAGTCCACAAGGACAGTTTTGTCCACTGATTTATTCCAAGCACATAGGCCGGCACCTGCACATAGTCGATTTTGCTGAGTAAGTGAGCGCCGGTTGTCCAGGGCCTCAGCGGGTCTGCTGAATCCTCACCTCGCCTCTCTGTGTCCTGCAGTTTGAGATGCTGACGGGCTCTCTGCCATTCCAGGGGAAGGACCGGAAGGAGACCATGGCGCTTATCCTCAAGTGAGTAGGCCCACTCTTTGGACCCATCCCCAATGCTTGCCAGTGCCCCCGATATCTGTGTTCAGACTTCTAAGGATGGAGGTGCTGCGTACGCCATCGGGTTTGCTGGCTTGGGCGCCCTACGTGAATGCTGACTGATGGTACTCAGAGCTCTAGAGAAATCTTTGCCCCCATTACTGCTCGTCCCTCTCCTTCTGAATCTGCTTCTCTTTTCCAGAGCCAAGCTAGGGATGCCCCAGTTCCTCAGCCTGGAAGCCCAGAGTCTGCTGAGAGCGCTCTTCAAACGGAACCCCTGCAACCGGCTAGGTATGCGCCCCGCGTGGAGGCCCCAGAGGGCACCACCCGTGTTGTGTTGTTGTTGGCTACTGGCGGGTTTGCCCCACGCATGGACACCTTACACACCACAGAACCAAACATTGCCCAGTCCTGTGCCGTCTTCACGACCACTGAGAACACCAGTTTTTGTTTTTGTTGTGGCTTCTGTGTCAGTCCATCTCATAGAAGGTCTCCCTCATTTTCGCTCACTCTCTACTTTACCAAACATGGGGTCCTTTGCAAGCGACTGGCCTCTCCTGGTGATGCGTCCCCAGTCAGCGAGCTGAAGTCTTTCTCACTTCTAAGGAACATTCAGTGGTGTTTCTTCTAAGACGGATTCGTTGGATCTTCTGGCTCTGCCTAGTGCCCGCTCGGTGACATTTTTTTTTACAGATGTCGTTCAGAACAAAGGGTTCTTAATGAGGGTAGGAATACCTACCGCACGCTGTCTGCATGCCAAGGCCTTGGGGTCTGTTCACAATGCATAAACCACACAGGAGCTGCCAGTGTCATTAGCTAGCTTCTAAAAGTCACTGTTTCTACACAAAATGGTGGCAATTTTCTCTACTTGTTTTATTTCTCTGACTTTTGGAACTTTACACACTAAGGACAGACCAATCAAAAAGCTGCTTTTCATTTCATCCCTCTCAAACGAAGAAATCTCAACATACAGTCAATGGAGAGTTGCATGGGTATTACTAGATAGTAATTCATTTTCCCAATAACCCTTTACTTTACAAAAAGATTTCCCATAGTTGCTTTAAACGGCAGCTCTCCTACAGCGTGATTGGGCGTGTGAAAAACTCCACTTTGTACACATTTCAGTAAGGCGTCTGCTGCCTTCATCTTTTTCCACTTTTCATTACTTCCCACGATCCAGGCAAACAATTCCCCATTGTCACCGAGTACTTCCACTAAGCATGATAGCACAGAGAGGACTTGGTCAGTGGCCGGGAGGAAGTCCAGACGGTGCCAGGCCACCAAAAAAACTGATCGGGGGCCGTGATTTCAAACAATGAGGCACACAGCCTTCCACCTTGTGGCAAATGCTTTAAGATCTGTAAGTTCTATTTCAGAAGGAACTTCAGGTTAATCTAGAACAATGTCAGACATCAGGATCCCGTTTAAAGACCATAATCAGAGCTGAGCAGTCATGGTTCATTTCTTTGTCATCTCTTTAACAAGGAAGGCCATCCACGTTCGGCTCTTCTGAGTCTTTATTAGGAATTGAGGCGCTTTCTCAGGGAAACTCCCTGGAGCTCCGCTAGCATTTCTAATAAGAGAAGCTCCTTCATTTGGCCTGTTAGTCTTGAAAAACGAACTACCTTTAACTCACAGCTTGATTCTCTCTGACTCTAATTTGGGCTGAGGGTATATATGATTTTTCTTCTTTCACCTGCAGAGAATTCCCCGAAATTTTACTGCTGGTAGATTTAATGAATGGTGTAAAACCTCCACTCATTAGTTTTCATTGAATTCTTTACAGAATTTTCATTCTGTAGAAGAGTGGGACAAAAAGTACCAAGATTTAGAAAAACCCAAGGAGAAAGATAATTGTATAAAGCTGCCGTCTTGAGGAATAGCAGACTGTTAGCAGATCCAGAACATCTACCAAGTGCTTGGGTTCCCACCTACAGACGTCCCTGTCCCCGAAGGAGATCCTGGGAGCAGTCCTTTGATTGCTTTCTATGTGTTTTTGTACCTTCAATCAACCAGTAGCTGTACAATGCTTTGACATTTTAGCCCCTCTGTCTTTTTAAGACACGTTCTGGACCACTTTTCACCTCTCAGATGAGCACGGGTGTAAACATTTGATGGCATCCAGAGTTGGTGAGGCTCTGACGGAAGATTCACCACTTTTGATGGAGGTGTAAATTTGTTCAGCCTTTTCATAAGTCAATTTGAAAATATCTGTCACAATATTGAAAGCACATACCGTTTATCCAAGTAATTCCACTCCAGGGAATTTATCTTTCAAATATATCTATACAAATGAACAGAAATATATGGAATATTTGTGTAGGAAAGAAGGAAAGGAAGAAATCTAAATTTCCGTCAAAAATGGATAGTGCATGAGTTTCCTGCAGCCGCCATAACAAAATACCACCCACTAGGTGGCTTATAAACCCCTTGACCATTGCCGTTGAGTCGATTCCAACTCATAGCAACTCTGCAGGACAGAGTAGAACTGCCCGTAGGGTTTCCAAGGCTGTAATCTTTACAGAAGCAGACTGCCACATCTTTCTCCCACAGAGCAGCTGGTAGGTTCAAGCTGCCGACCTCTCGGTTGGCAGCTGAGCGTTTAACCATTGTGCCACCAGGGCTCCCGGGTGGCGTTTAAGAATAGAAATTTATTGTCTCACAGGTCTGAAGGCTAGAAGTTCAAATGCCTTGTCATTCTTGAGTGCAAGAATGAAATCCAGACGCTTGTTAATATTAGGAGTGTGTGAGCATATCCACGTCCTTTCTGAACACTGGTGTTGGGACGTTGCTTCATGATCATTTTCCTCTTAGAAAATACGCAGGTTAACTTCAGCCAGGCCTTAACGAACTTGTCCCGCATTCACTGCTAGTGGGGTTCAGATTTATGAGGGCTCATTACACGTTCTTGCCCCTGTTTGACCTCCTATGGCAGTATAACTTGGAATCAGAAAGGGAAGATGAAGATACTGGACGTACTTATTCATTCAAATGCACATGTTAAGAACAAACAATTCAGACTCGTCTCTGGCATCAATTTAAGAATTTTGCCATGGGGTCAGTATTGCCTTTCAAATGTCATCGCATTTGGTGGGAGAAGACTTGTCACAATAAATTGGGGGACTGTGACTGCTTATGGGTATGTTTGTTCTCCCTTTGACTCTGGAGGATAGAAATAATGTTCAAATAACCGATCTTTTGTCTTAGAATTCAACATTACTAAGATCCTAGCTAACCCAAAATATTGTTTTTATAATTCTGTTAAAATAACTGCCCGTTTATTTTATGAGCTCAAGCATAACAAGGATTGTGAGGATGGCACAGGAGCAGCAGCGTTTCGTTCTGTTGTACACAGGGTCACTATGAGTCAGAACCGACTCACTGTCATCTAACAACAACAACAAAATCATAGTTTTCTAAGTCAATATGTTGTTTGATTATTCTGTTAAAACAATTGGTGAGAAAAAGATGGGCTTATGCATTCAATGGATAATCATCAGCCCAATGGAACCCATATAAGCGTGAAATATGGTCCATCTCTCCCAAAGATTGCCCTTCAGGTAATATCTGAATGAATTCTCTAAAGCTTTCAGGGAGTTATGGTTCATGCCCTGCAGGTGTACATTACAACATAAGCTAGACAGGCTCAGCATAAGGGGAAATTGTAGTCAGAATTATTAATTACCCAACCCTTTATGCGGTGAGGCTACTGGATTTAATTGCTGAAGATCTTTAGCTGTAAGGTTGAAAATCGCTTTGGGTCAATTCATCTTGATCTACAGAAGCAGCTGGATTCCATGGCTGAGACTCTGTCCCTTTGATTGCTGTGAGCTTTGTTCTGGATCCCCCAGAAGAGCCCAGAACTAAGTCTGAACTGGGGTCCCCTTGCCGTTTGGGTAGCCAGTCACTATGAGAAGGCCTCTGTTGAACACTGGTCCCTCACATAGATTCACAGTATGGTTGCGGTACCTTCAAATGAGTCGAGATCTCTTCACGCTTAACCTGTTGAAGAGCCATGGGCCCTTGAACTCTCATCCACAGCTGCACTCATGAAGGATTGGACCCAATGTTGGTGCTGGGAAAATGGTAAATTGTCTTCATCATCGTCCCTCGCCCCCTCCTCCCACTGTCCTCTCTCTCAGGGTCTTCTGCTCCTCACGTTGAGTCCTGGGAGGGGGGGACAGCCGATTCTTCAAAATGTTCCCCCAGCCCTGCCTACATTCTGTGGCTGTCCCCCAGGCCTGAAAAGCCACCCTTACATCCCAGCTGTCCCACCACTGCCCTTGGCTTCCTCAACCAGCTACCATCACACTGCCACCAGAAGCAATTGGAATTCCCAGCTGATCCAATCAAGTCCAAGTTATTGCCAGTGGGCAATGCAATAAGCTAGAAATTATGGTGGTTTTGTTAGCTGCCCTCGAGTCAGCTCCACCTCATGGCGACCCCGGGTCCAACAGAACGAAACGTTACCCAGACTTTGGTAATCAGACGATGTTCTGTTGTGATTGATAGGGTTTTCATTGGCTGATTTTTGGAAGTAGATCACCAGGACTTTCTTCCTCATCTGTCTTAGTCTGGAAGCTCTGCTGAAACCTGCCAACTGTGGGTGATCCTGCTGGTATCTGAAATACCAGTGGCATAGCTTCCAGCATCACAGCAACGCGCAGGCCACCACAGTATGACACACTGACAGTCAGGTAGTGGTGAAGTTATGAAGGGGGTTAAAAAAAAAGAAAGTGCCCTCCAGGACAACGGCATAAATATATCGATATTTTTAACTCTAGGCAGGCCCCGGGGAGCAGTGAGGTGCTCATTGTTGCACCTCCAAGCATATGTCGACTTGAAGTTTGCAGCTCGAAGAAATGACAAAGGGTTATTTCGTTCATCTCCTGATTTTGCAGATGAGAAAACTGACACGCCCCCATATGACTTGCCCAAGGCTCCGCCGCCAGTAATAGCAGAGACAAAGCTGGGTCTTCTGTGTCCAAGGCTGGCGTCTCACTCCTCAGCATCCCAGAAGATAACATGTCTTCTCTCAAAAGAGTTCTGAATTTCTGTGTCCAGCCTTCTTCCTACTCAGTGTGCTCATTTGTCCGGTAAACATTAACCAAACACCTGTAGCAGGTACAAGGTACACAAAGGTGGATATACCGCCACTGACCTTCTGAAGCTCAGAGCCCCGTAGGGGAATGTTTTCATCTCCCCAGGATGCCATCACAGAATACCGCAAAGTGGGTGGCTTATAGGAACAGACATTTAGTCTCTCTCAGCTCTAGAGGCCAGAAGTCTGA